CCCCCAAGTCTTCGGTATCACTCAGGGTCATGTAATGGTTAGCCATCGCTTTTTCTTATTGCAAGTTGGAATTCATCGGAGTGCTACATGATTTAGCCCCTATTTTCTAGTTTTGTTAAAAAGGTGGAGAACATATTTCCTCTTAGGAAGGTGAAGAACTTATTTCCTCTCAGAGAGAATAATTCATTCTTGTTTCTTAGTATCTTCACTTATAGAAAAAATTTTCTCAATTTCGAAGTTTTTTGTCTGAAAATGTGCATGGAGAAATGTCTTCTAACGAACAATTGGATTTACTTTAACCCTGAACACCCATTTACACCCAATTACCTTTTATTTCATGGTAAGTCTTCTAAAGTCCATGTCCCAGGGCATTCATCTCGTCAATCATGGAAGCACACCAACCAGAATGGACCAGGTAAGATTCTTGGTATAGAAATGGAATCTTTTGAGCGATGAGGAGCAGAAGGAAGGTGAGAAACGATTGTAGTTAGAAGCCATAGGGTATGTGCAGATCAATTAACTTTTAGTAGAGTAATAGGAAGGTCATCATGGGGACTGGATGGTCAGATACAGAGGTTCTTTTAATGAAGCATTAGGGGAAGGATATGAATCTGAATTAGCTGCAACCTCTAGAGTTGGACGTGAGCATCAAGTATAAATTTGAGTAACCAGTGGCTAATTAACCATGGGAAGTTGGTTAACACTAGAAACAGGAGGCTCCCAATGAGAAGGCTGAGTAACTGGAATAGAATATACTAAAACATCCTTGTTTCGTTTGTTGGGTTTCTCTTTCTTCTGTGACCAGAAGTAGGAAAAACATTGATGAGATTCATTGTAATTAACTTCTGGAAAACACTGATATCCTTTCTTCACATGAGTACCCCATAAAATTCCTGTGAGAGCTTTAGGATCTAATTTAGTGAGATTATCCCTTACAAACATGTACTACCAAAACCCCGAGGGTCTAATGGGAAAAATAAATTTATTTAAAATTTTGAAAAAGGGCAGATAGTGGGATAATATTATCTAACACAACTGAGGGCATGTGATTAATGATAAAAGAGGCTTGCCCAAAAAGGTTTGGAACATTCATATGAAACAATAGTTCTCGAGCAACCTCAAGCAGGTGCCAATTATTTTGTTCCACGGCCGCATTTTGCATGGTAGCACAAGAAGTTTCATGCAAATTTTCATTTTGAAGCATATAAAACTTAAAAACCATCGACAAAAATGCTTTAGCATTATTATTGCACAAAGTTTGAATGATAGTTGGTTTTCAACCACATCTCGAAATGAAGGGAATGTTGGAAGACTTTAGAACGATTTTCATGAAATCTAAAATTACACGAGAAAAGCCATCAATGAAAGTAAAAAAATATCTATATCCAGATTTGGACAACGTTAGACAAGGACTCCAAACATCACAATGGGCTAGCATGAAGGGGGCACGACTCTCGTTTATTCCAGTTCCTAACAGAGCACGAGAATGCTTCACAAACTGACATGACTCACACTATTTAAACGAGACCTTTTGGAAACTCTGAATGGAACCTTTTCACGCTCTGGAGAGAAAGATGGTCTAGAGACAATGGAACTCAAGTGCTTATGAGGGAAAAGATTTTGGTTCAAGTGTCTAGATAAAGAACATCAGACTAACGATTTTGAGTTTTCTGAAGGATAGGAGATTAGAGGCATAATTGGGTAAATGTAATACAGAGTATAGTGATACAGAAGGTGTAAGGCGAATGGTACTGGAACCAAGAACACAAGGGTTGGATTCATCAGGTATAGTGACGTATGACTAGACTAGAGGGTATATGTGAATGGTAAGTGGAGAAAATGCTTGAGTTACCTGTCATGTCATGTGGTCTGAAGCACCAGAATGAATACTCATTTAGATCCTTTTGACACAGGACAAGAAGATGAATTAGAAATGTCGGTAGATATAGCTGTGGTTGTGGTGGTTGCATTATGTAGTTCATTTTTCTCATGATGTTTTATGTATGCCTAGAAATAGAATTAGTGCTTGAAATTGAAATCGAAATCGAAATCGAAATCGAAGGAGCAGAAAATCCAAGCACGTGGATGACAGAGGTGGCGTGCTGTTTTTGGCTGCCGAATTTTTACAGACGGTCGATCTGAGGTCGGCGAGTACACATCGGGATGGGGTGAGATCGGAGTTTGACTTGAAGTATGTCAATCACCAAAGTCTACAATCAGGGAAAAAAAAATTCCTCAAGTATATGTTCTGTGTTTATTATTAAAAAAATGGGTATCCAAGAAATCCAATCATGGCTCTGATACCATGTAGTTTGAAGTAATCTCATTCTCCATTCTTGTAAGGGTACAAACTACAAATGTATATACAACTCTAGAAAAAAGTCAAAGAAGGAAGAACAATCACAATCTCTAATGTACAGGATCACAATGGTCCCGTAAGTTGTGCTGTAATTGATACAAATATATACGTCAATAGTGTTTAAAAGTAAAACCAATCAATAGCTAGAATCAGAATCTGAGTGCACATTTGTTTGCTGTTCAATATAGCTCAAATGATAGAGAAGTAGGTGCTTCCTTGCAAACACCTGCATGTGATTTTCTTCGAACTAAAACCTCAGAATCAGTTATTTTAGTGATTGCAAACACTCCCATACTCACCTTGAGATTACATGATTTTGTTTGATTGACAAGACTAGAAACTTGACAGTTTTTGCTATGTATGAAGTAAAAGATGAGTTTGAGATTTGTCATCTTTTCCATAATCCCTAATGCACTGCGTGTGTGTTTTTCCTTGTTATTTCTTATCAAGTATTTTATTCCCAATTCACATTTCAAGTGGTCTCGCGTATTTTACAGTTTTCTGGTATCAATGGCGTATTGTACTACACTCCTCAAATTCTACAGCAGGCGGGTGTGGGAGTTCTTCTCTCTAACCTTGGCATAGGATCGGACTCTGCATCATTCCTCATCAGTGCTTTGACTAATTTGTTGATGCTTCCAAGTATTGCTGTTGCTATGAGGTTCATGGATGTTGCTGGTAGAAGGTAACCACATCATCAAATCTTTTTATCTCATTTACACACTCTATGCTCTTTCGCTGTCATCTGTTTGACTTTTTTTTTTTTCTTCTTTGAGATAAAAACTAAAAAAGAGTACTAATATTTGGTCCTCTCTGAAGTATCTATGGCTCCGATTCCAAAGGAATTCTTTGGCTTTGGCAATTTTCGGCTGCAAAAAAAATATGGAGCCTTTTTGGGAATTCAATTGTTGATTGAAGTATTCAAAGAAATTGTTCAAGTACTTACTCTTATCTTCCACTGATCACTTAACTTTACATTTTCTGTAAATTTCACAAAACATTATTCATTTTTCTAGACAATTTTTCTCTATCAATCTAATTACCTATTAAGAAAAATCATCTCTATTCTCTAATTATAAACTAAGAAATAATAATAGAAAACAAAAGGTTCTCCAGCTGAAAATTGGAGCCTTAATTCTTTCATCGGATTTGTATGGCTTACATTTATACAGGAGCTTCAGAATTTAAGAACAGGTATGAAAATTTGAGCTAGCTTACCTTTTTTTCTTCCTCTGTAATGACACAATGTTATATTTCAATAGGTTCTCCTGAGCTTCAGTCTAAATAAAAAAAATAAAATATTTACGAGAATTAAACTATCTTCTAAATTTGTGAGTGCTCCATCGACGTTGGATCTCCATTTAAATAACCTCACAAGTTAATGCTCTGAAGGGCTTGTCTATTTTTGTGATACCATTAACCATTAGAAGCTATTTGTAATTTGTAACCTAAGTAGATCTTTATGTGAATAGCCTATACATATTCTTTCCCTATGTACTTAAAATATCCCCTTGATTTTCAGGTCCCTTCTGCTGACCACAATACCCGTCCTAATAATTTCTCTCATCATCCTCGTGATTGGGAATGTCGTGAATTTTGGAAGCGTGGCCCATGCCGTGATCTCGACTTTATGTGTGGTGATCTATTTCTGCACGTTCGTGATGGGTTACGGACCAATCCCAAACATCCTGTGCTCGGAAATATTCCCGACTCAGGTCCGTGGCATCTGCATCGCCATTTGCGCGTTGGTCTTCTGGATTTGTGACGTCATAGTTACTTACACGCTCCCTGTGATGCTGGGCTCGATTGGTCTCGGGGGCGTTTTTGGGATTTACGCTGTTGTCTGTGCTGTCTCATGGGTTTTCATTTTCTTGCGGGTGCCTGAGACAAAGGGGATGCCTTTGGAAGTTATTACTGAGTTCTTTGCGGTCGGGGCCAAACAAGATGGTGCAAAGGCGAGTGAGGATTGATTTTATTTTATTTTATTTTTTTCTGCAGTTGGTTTTTGTTCTATAGAGGATCTTTTTGGGAAGTGGCTGTACTATTGCCAAAAATTTTAGATTATGGAGATTCTTTTGTTTTTTTTTTTTTTGGTGTTTGAAGTGATGTGGGTTGTGAAAATTTTGTGTGAAAACACGGATAATGAATTAAATATGTATGAGCAGAAAATGGGCTTGAGTAATTTTGCTGGAATGTGAGTGATGATTGCTTTTCTGGTTTGGAAACATGAAAATTAGGATGAAATCAAATACAACACTAATGAAGATAGTAGTTACCTCTCCTTGATGTTCAATTTAACCTTAAAGAAAACTATGAACTAATTTTTTAAAAAATATTTTACTTGTTAGACGTTTGTTTTCGAGCTACAATTGTTTGTTTTCGAGCTATAGCTGCATATCTACGTATCAATAGAAAATTTGGTCGCGTGCCAATATCCTATGACGTGCGTGCTATACGTGAAAAATATAGGTCTACACAAGTTTAACAAAAGAATGAAAGCAAAAAACAAGAAAAGAAGAAAGGCAAACAACCAAAAGGAAAAGTTTGAGCCCAGGCAAGCAGCTTCACATAGAGGGTTGAAGCACAACGAATGGTAGCTCATCTGGTCCATTTCCATAAGAGTACGAATGCAGAGAGGAGCGTCATCCAGGCGCAAGGTGCACCTCAGTGGGGTGAAGGCACCTAGGCTGGCAAGGTAATCAGCAGGTCCGTCTCTCTTGCGGAAGATGTGAGAAATTCAGTAGCGAACCGACTGAAGTCTGGATCTAATTCGCATGACCGAGTGCTGAATCTGCCACGAGCCCTAGTGGCCTGAAGTCAAGAGGGCGGCGACAGCGGTAGCGTTCAACTCTATCCAAATGTGAGAAGAGATAGAGACTGCAATCTGAAGACCAATCTGAAGTGCTTGAACTTCTGCGTCATGTTGTGGTTTCTTAATTTCCTATAATTTTTTGGTATTTTTTTTGTAAATTAATGGTGAAAAGCATGAGGAAGGAGACGAGTGATAGAGAGAGAGAGAGAGACAGAGAGAGATAGAGAGAGAGAGAGAGAGAGAG